TTTAGCAGGATAATTCGAGAATCTGCAAATGGATGTTCACGATTTTTTGTGAGCAAGTTATCGTTGACGATAGGAAGATCAAGTTCGGAACTTAGTAGGCGTCGTTCGAGGTCCGTACGTTGCTGTAGTGGGCTTTTGGTGATTGCACACTTTTAAGGGCAGGCGAACTCTTGCTATGGTTATATCTAGGTTAAAACAACAACGCTGGCTGTATAGAAGAATAATTTAGTTGAAGGAATTTGGGCCGTTTTGATGTTTTGATCGCCGAGCATCGGAGGGAAGAAAACAACATTTCGCGTCCAGACTCCCCAGACTGGGGACATTCTCTCTCCTCTTTTGCCGAATTCTACTATCCGTATTTTCATAGAAAGACATGGTACACACAGGCTTGGGAAATAGTATGTTGCTTCGTTTACAAAAGAACTCTATGAACACACACCAAAACAATATCACACTGTCGAAGGCATGAGACCTCCAAACTCTAGTTTTGTTTTAATATTAGGGCACAGGAGCCACAAATGTAATTTTCTGTCCAAAAATAGCAAAAAAAAGCCTTATTTTACACAATGTAAAAGTAGTGTATGTTAAAAGCGTGAATGACATTCTTTAGACATGTGTCCAAGGTATCCCCAAACCAAATTCCAGGTCATTTGGATTTAATATTATGGCACAGGAGCCAAAAAAGTGCTTTTTTGTCCGAAATTAGCCAAGAAGCCCTATTTTACACAAATCAAAATCTTCATCTTCATCTTTGCCGGGCCTCTAAGATGTTATACAAGCCCCGGCTACACCCCCATATGGCCCCTGTTGGGGCACTTTAGGGGGGATATCAGTGTATGTCAAAAGCGTGAATGACTATTTGGACACGTGTACCAAATTTCAGGTCATTCTGATTTGATTTTAGGGCACGGGAGCCAAAAATGTACATTTTTCGTCTGAAAACAGCCAAAATTAGGCTTTGTAGATATGTCCAAGGTATATCCGTACCAAATTTCAGGTTATTTGGTTTTATTACCAGGGCTCCGTGGCGAATCAATAATTAGCTCTTATAATTAGTTCTTATGCAAAAAAAGCATTATCATCATCTTATCACCATAACCTGGTTACGTTTCTAAAAGTTTAAAACAAAGAAATTGTTCTTAGAATTTGTACTGTTGAACCAAGGACGTTCTATCACTTGTAGAACGTCCTTGGTTGAATAAAGCGAATTTTGATATTGTATGATGACAACTGTAAATGTATAATCATTATATAGACTGATGCCTCTGTAATTATATAAATAGCCTCACAATTCAACCCTCCACGGCTACCAGGAGGCATGGATATCTTTTGCTAAGATCTAATAAACCAGTCAATGCAACTACTTCTACATTTGTACTTCTACTTCTCTTCTTGACTTGGCCTCGTTTCAGAAGAAAATATTGTAAAAACTTCATGCACAAAACGAATCGAAGACTACACAAGACTTGAAGTGATCGTTCCACAGCGGTACGTGTACGTTTAGCAGCATTAAAAAATGTCTTTATTCTCTTTGATTCATAAAATGTGTAACATTGTCAGAAAGAAAAAAACTGTTCTGCCGTTGCATACATACATATTTTATGGTGCGGCCACATTCCGTAGACTGAATTTCCTTGCAGGATGCGATAGAACTTAAGCCTCGGTCACAGCCCATCGTACGTGCTATTTGTCCGTACGTTTTTGGGAGGCTACGTCTGCTACGTTTTTTCTGAAAACGTGGGGAAGGAGTGGCGTCGGCGCACGTCACTCGCGCGGTTGCGCAAGGTGTAAGAGTGTGGTCTGCATGCCACGTCTAGCGGTGAGTGGTTGCGTGCCTCGTTCGTTGTGCAAGTGGTAAGTGAGTTGTACGTGCTTACAACGTACGATCTCTGTGCGATTGCAACTTTACCGTAAGGAGGTCGTACTCACACGTGCGTCTTTCGTACGGTACGTACGGGGCACGCGCGTCGCTCGTACTCGCACGCACGGGTGGTGAATCCGTAGACCGCATGCAGGAAAAGTTTTACATGCACTTAAAGTTCTACGGCGTTTCTGTGTGCTCCCAAATCCGTAGGATTCCGTACGGAGGTGGTACTCACCACACACGGATGCCCTGCGTTTGCCCACGTTTTTGCACGTAGACAGCACGCAGAAGCACGTATGGCGGGTTGTGACCGAGGCTTTACCGTCGACAAGGACTAAAGGCATGCTTTTCCGTAACAAGACAGCTGAATTTTGCTATAGGGCACATGCACGACTATCCTGAGAATGCTCTCAGTTTGCGATCGCACGACGCATGTAAACAGGCCCTTTCAAAGAGCAAAGAATAGAGCAGGCCAATACAAGGAATACACTTATGAATGCGATCACCAACAAGGCACATATAACATTATCTAAAACAATCTCAGATACTTTTACTCTACTCATGTCATGTTCTGACGAAACTTCCCTGTACATAGGCCAGTATATATCCAAAGTTTTAGTTAAAAGAAATCATATTATATCCGACACAACCAACTGATGTACACTCTAGTTTGTACAGTCATACATAGAACTCAAGACATGTACATTATCATGTAAGCCATGGTCCATATATATACATGTTCTATATTACAGTTTTGAAGTAGTATAATGTATATTCGATACATAGAACTTGTAAACATTACTGTAGACGTGAGAGTAGATGTTAGCTAGATATGTAGTACTGAAGAGTTTGCCATGCATTGTGCCCGTTACAATTGTTGTGCAATAATAAAGATTGACTTGACTTGACATCAACTTAGCTAAGATACCGTGGCCGACAGGCACAACTTATAACTCTGTTGAAGTATAACATCTGGGGATTCTGATGTATATTAGGGTCAGAAAGTAGCACCTACTGACTTTTTTATATTTATTTTTTCCGACCCTTTTATACAGAATCCCTAGATGCTATACAACAGTGTTACAATACTTTGTACCTGTCGGCCACGGTACTGAAGATTATGTCCTACCTGGGCCGCGATTACGTTCTATACGGGTGTTCCGGCCAGTGTGATAACTAGCGATACGGCCCGGGGGTTCTTAACGCGTACGGCCTGGGCTTCCAAATGTTCCATAGAACGAATCGAACGCGCGTTTCGCCCTAACCGCTTGCACCGCTTTCGAAAATTCGAACACAAAATTCGGACGTTGGAAGTGATGTTGTTGCATTGTTTGGGTTTAGGGACACCAAATTTTCGCCTATTTCGCATTATTTATTATTATCAAAAGGCGTGTTTTCTTGGGTGGGTATGACATAAATAAAATACAACACGGTGTATTCCGTATCACCCTCGGTCCCAGCCCTCCCGCGAATCGGATCTCCCTCCGGCCTTCGGTCGTCGGGCGATCCGACGCGCGATCGGGCTGGTACCTCGGGCGATACGGAATACCCCGTGTTGTATTATATATGTACGTTAGGAGCGGGGTGAGAAGGTAATAGTTACCGGCGGCGGGGGACGCTGTGCCCGTCCACCTGTTCCCGAGCGTACGGCAGATGGGCTGCGTGCCGGCAGCAACAGCCCGGAAAACGGCCAGCAGTCGCTGAAAATACAGTAGTGTAGGAACAAAAATTAGTTCAGCCCACTTAACCACGTTCAATCTAACCATGTTAAAACGGAGACTGAGATGCGACGTAAGACTAAATAATGTGTAATCTACTAGGCTTGTGTTCAAAATAAAATCACACTTCTATTAGTTGAGAAAGTCAATGGCATATGCATCCAATGCAATTTCAGGCGGAAAAATAAGAAAAATGAGAATGAGATGAGAATATCTGATATTGGTATTTACTGTAATTTCTTAGCACATGTTCGCTATCATTTCATACCTGAAG